TTGCCCCCAGGGAGTGCAGCCGAGCTGGTGGCTGCACCCAACAGCCAAAACTGGAAAATCTACTTTGCCAGCCCAGCAGCTCCACTGGCCCCACCTCGCCGCTGACCCACGAGCTGCTCACGTAGGTGAAAAGCCAACAGGGAACTCCCTGTGGAAAGCCAGAGCAGGAAACAAAACCTGCAAGGGGATGGGTGCGTGGCTGCATCCGAGCTCCTCGCCCAGGCAGCTCAGCCCCTTGGCCCACGAGGGTTTAATCCACCAGGGAAAGGAAATTCCAGGGTTGCTCCACGCCAAGGGAGCAGGGAGGGTGGAGAGGGTGAGAGGAGCCACCCCCCAGCACCAACAGAAGCAGCACCAGGCACTGATTTCCCCAGCAGCCCTTGTCGTGTTCAATTTAGGCTCCCACGCTTCTTCCCTCGCTGCCAAGTCAGCCCCAAACCTGCCCAGCCACCCTGCCAGATGTTTTTTGCCTGTGGCCACCCGGGTGTTGTCACAGCTGGCCAAGGGAGAGGTGCTGGGGGTGTCCCTCAGCCACCCAAAAGCTGGGCTGGCTTTGCACCCTGGGTTCCTGCTGCTGCTCAGAGGAGCATCATCTGCTTCTTGAAGCCTTCTGCAGCAAACCTCAGGCAGGGAAACAGATGGGAAAACAGTTTTTGTTCTCTCCTGGTCGTCCTGGAGGATGCCCAGGAGAAATACATAAGGGAAATGAGGGGGAGAAGGGACCAAACCCAATAAAATCAGGCGTGGAAAGGGGGTTGGCTGGAAGCTGAGCCTTTCAGCTGCCTCATCCTGGTGAAGCCCAGCTCTGCAGGACCCCACGCTGGGGGAGATTGGGTGATGGTGGTGACACCCCGGTGCCATGCAAGGGGTTAGGATGGTGAGCCCCTCCCAAATCTCACAGAAAAGGGGGGTTGCAGCACCCCAGCAACATGAACCTCACAGGGCTGGGTGCCACACAGCACAATCCCAGCCCCCCAAATCACCCCAGCTCGGAGCAGCAGGAGGCAGCTTTCAGAGAAGAAGGGGAAAAGACCCTAAAATTACCAGTAGACTAAAACTGGGGATGTGGCAGGGGGGCAGCTGGGGGGGTCACCACGTCCTCACCAGCCTCCCTCCCTGGCACAGCTCCCTGCGAGCCACTCTCGAACACACAACCCCCCATTTTGGGTCAAAACCACAAAGAATGACCCCCTCCAGGGTTGGAGGCACGCTGGGAGCAGCAGACCCTGAGCCAGCCCCCCCCAAAAAAGCACCAGCCCCCTTCCCTAGAGCACAGCAGTGGCCAAACCTGGGTGGCTATGGGCAGGGTGCCACCCCCATGAGGCCAAGCTTGGGCATGATGCCAACCCAAAGGGCTGCCCAAAAATCCCTGAGCACCAGGGAGTGGAGCTGCACCCCAACCTGGCTCCTGCCAAGGAGGGGGGGAGCAGCAGCAGCACCCCAAATTTGGATGCTGGGGCCACGGAGCCGAGGCGGCGCTGGGGGTGAGTTGGGGTTTTATTTCTCTGTAATAAAATCTGAGGTGTGAGGAGCAGGGTAGGGGTTGAAGGGAGGAAAGCAGCTGCCCAGGGGTGGTTTGGAAGGGGGGAGGCATTGGGGGCTGGCAGGGGAGGTCCCTGTGGGGGTGGAGATGGAGAGAAGTCCAGAGAAGAGGAGAAATTAAAGCCCTCCCCCCTGGAGGGGCTGCTCAGCTCCGTGGTCTCCTCTCCTGCTCACTCTCTGCAACCCTTAGATGTGGTTCCACCAGAGGAATTCTCCTCTGGTTGGGGGGCTGCCCCATCTCTGCTCTCTCTAGGAGGAGACCTTTTCCCAGCAGGATGCTCAGGAGCTTTTCCAGGCAGGATTTCCCACCCTGGGGGCAGGCAGGGAGTGCACAGGCAAGAGCTGGACACCCCCTGCCCCCTGGGAAAGGCTCTTTTGGCTGATTCCAGCCCCCCAAAAATTGATTTATCACCAGCCCAGGCAACACTTTGCAGCCCTTGAATAAGAAAAGGGGATTAAACTGGGGCAAAGGAAAGGTCTCCTTGGAGCTGGCGTTGGTTTAGGCTTTCACAGCCCCCCCAAAACCAGTACTCGGGGAGGGAATGAACTGGGAGATGAGGTTTTAACCCAGCACCTCTGCCCAGAACATCTGTTGCTGCCTCTGCTCTCCAGAGAACCCTTCAGGGTGCTCAGAGGAGCTGCCTGGTGGAAATAAACTCCCCTGAGATCCCCCTGGATGATTTACAACCCAGCTGCTCAGCACAGGGAGGACCCCGTGGAACCCCAAAACCACCAAGCTGGGTTAGCAAAACCCACACCCAGACCTTCAGCACAGGGGCTGGCTGGTGAGGAGCAGCCCAGCCCCACCAGAAGGTCCCATCCTGCCCCCAAACCCCCTCCTCCCATCTCTCCTTCAGGCTTTTGCAGCTGCAAATCGAGTTCATTCCACAAGCAGCTCATCTACAGCTAAAAATTCCCCAGACAAGGAAGAGGAGCAAGAAAAACAAGGAGCTAGAAGAGTTCTGCTCAGAAGATCTGACCTATTTTGGCTTTTAAAGACCTATTTTGGCTTTTAAAGACCTATTTTGGCTTTTTAAAGACCTATTTTGCTGGGAAAAGCTCCACAACTGCTCTCAGCAGTTCTCCCAGGACAAAGGACTCTTTAGGGGAGGGGTGGAGGAAAGCCCAGCAGGGATGTGGGGTTGAAGAGCCACTTTTTTTATCCTCTTTAATTTCATTTTATCAGGTTTCCCCCAGAGCAGAGCTGTCGTCAGCAGAAGCAGGTTGATTTGGGCACAGGATTTTTGATTTCCATTTCATTTTGCATTTTTCTCTTTGAGGGTGAAGGGGGGAAGATGGAAGAACCTCAAAGCACCACCCTCAACACCAAGGTGAAGCAGGGAGAAGGTGGTTTTCAGGACAAAAACCACCCATCCTGCCTTTCTGAAGCGAGTTCTGAAGTGCCACCACAAAGGAGGACACCCCACAACCCACATCTGGGGTCATCTGGATTGCTTGGGCCTAGATTCCAGCAGAAGTGACCTGTCCAAGGGCACCTGGTCCCAAGGTGGTCCATGGGAAGAGGTTGAAGAGCTGAGCACCTTGGCTTCCTTTTTGGAGCCATCATGGAGAAGGCAGCAGCTTCTGTAGATCTAGAGAAGGTTTATTAGACTCTCCAGAGCAAACCCAACCAGGTAGACCCACCAGAAGATGCAGAGAAACCCAACAGGGCCCAGCCCAGCCCCAAAACAGGTGACCCTGGCTGTGCTGTGCCCAAAAACAGAAGTCATGAAGCAATCCTCTGTGGTGTGAGCTCCTCGTGGAGCACAAGGCACCTGCCAGACAGGTTTGGGTTTCACAACAAACCTGCCTCCTCTTCGGTGGCCTGAAGATGAAGATTGGGCTTGGCACCTCCTATCGAAAGGCCCTCTGGCATCAGGAACCCTGACACATGGGTTAGGCCTCCAATGTTCAGCCCCACCAGGCTGGCTGGTGGAGCCTTGTGTCCCCCCAGCTCATCACACCTCCACGAGGACCTTCCTTGCTGTGTCCCCCACCCAAATCCTCAATCCTGTCCTGCAGAAGGACCTCAGTGAGGTGCTGGTCATTGCAGTGACCACCAGAGCCATGGGAGGACCTGGAAGGTGCAGACACTGGCAGGATGAAAGCTCAGCTGGCAATGGCTTGTGCTCTACCCAACCCTCCATGGCATCTCAGCTTTGCCATGGAATCATTTTGGGTTGAAGAGACCTTTAAGATCAAGTCCAACCGTTCCCCCAGCACTGCCAGGTCCCCACTGCCCCGTGTCCCTCACCCCACATCTCCACAGCTTGGAAACCCCTCCAGGGGTGGGGACTCCACCCCTGCCCTGGGCAGCCTGGCACAGCCCTGGGCAACCCTCCAGGGCAAGAAATTGTTCCTCAGGGACAACCTCAACCTCCCCTGGGGCAACTTGAGGCCATTTCCTCTTGTCCTGTCCC